ACACTTATTGAGGGTCCTTCCAACCCTACCCCACATGCCAGTTCTATTGCTGAAGATACCACAGTTAAAGGACAGAAACCAGGCCAGGTGTGGTGGCTCATGCTTGTAATTTTGGTAGGCTGAGGTGGGAGGATCATTTGAGCCCGGGAGTTTGGGACCATCCTGGGCAACATGGTGAAACCCTATCTCTACAAAAGTTTTAAGACCAGGCCGAGTGTGGTGGCTTACACCTACATGTAATCCCAGTACTTTGGGAGGTGGAGGTGGGTGGATCACGAGGTTAGGAGATACAGACCATTACCTACTAAAAATACAAAAAATTAGCTGGGTGTGGTGGTGGCACGTGCCTGTAGTCCCAGCTACTCGAGAGGCTGAGGCAGGAGAATCACTTGAACCCGGGAGGCGGAGTTTGCAGTGAGTCTGAGATTGTGTCACTGTGAGACTCTCAGAGCACTTTAGCTGAGCCTGACGGTACACACCTGCAGTCCCAGCTACTCAGGAAACTGAGGTGGGAGGACTTCTTGAGCTGTGGTTGTGCCTCTCTACTCAGCCTGGTGACAGAGCAAGACTCTATCTCAGAAATCAGAAACCACCTTATTCTCATGGAGCTTAAATTCTACAGAGCAGACAGATATAAACAAACCAATCAATATAAAATGTGTCAGAGGGAACACGAACTTTGAAGTGAAAGTGAAGCAGGGGGTACCATGAGGCCAGTCATCTGCTCAGAGAAAGTGGGAAGAGTCAAATTTGACACAGCTCCTGGCCACCATGGGGACAATGAGGGAGAGCCCACGTGGAAGGAGATCGATTGCCACTCAGGCAGTTCTGGGGCCCAGCTGCTGTTTGATCAGAAGTTTGGGGACCATGGTCATGAGGATTGATCCAGGCCTGGTGTTTCCAGGCTGGTGTGGCAAGCACGAGGGAGTTGCCCAAATAGTGCTGAGGGGCAGAGGGCCTGAGTTCAGGATGGGAGTACAGGAGTGGGGGTGTTCTGGTTGAGACTCCAGACATGTGAGTAAGGCCACCCTAAACCATCCAGCCTCACCTGATCTGGCCCAGACTGGAGGAACTGCGCAGCTCATCAGTCAGAATAATAAGTCAGTATTGCTTTAAGCCCCTAAGATTGAGGATTGTTTGTTACACAGCAGAAGCTGACTGATACAGATGCTGGCATGGGGAACTGGGACACATGCGTACTTGTGTGGTTAATTTGGTAAAGTGTTCTGCTTCTCAGAGTAAGGCAGGGACTGGGGCAGGAGCGGTCTAAAAGCCTGTTTTGATTTGCCAGGAATAGTTTGGGAGTCTGAATTAGCCCCCCCCCGCCCCTTTTTTTTTTTTGGAGACAGAGTTTCCCTCTTGTTGCCCAGGCTGGAGTGCAATGGTGTGATCTTGGCTTACCGCAACCTTTGCCTCCGGGTTCAAGCGATTCTCCTGCCTCAGCCTCCTGAGTAGGTGGGATTACAGGCATGTGCCACCATGCCTGGCTAATTTTGTATTTTTAGTAGAGATGGGATTTCTCCATATTGGTCAGGCTGGTCTCGAACTCCTTACCTCAGGTGGTCTGCTCGCCTCAGCCTCCCAAAGTGCTGGGATTACAGGTGTGAGCCACTACACCCGGCCTAAGTAGCTACATTCTCAGCAGACCCTGGTGTATCATTGAGGAAAATGAACACTGAGCCATGGGCTCAACAAGGCTGGGGGGAAGCAGGAGACTAGGGTTCCTGGAACTTTGCTGGAAATGAGTGGGGTGAAGGATTCTGGAGTTCAAAGCCATTATGACCTTTGTGTCTTGATTGTTCTCCAGAACAGAAGGCACTGGGGAGAGACGGGCCTCATGGCTTCTGGCAGGCTCTCCCAGGTCCTCCTGGCAGTCCTGGATAGAGCTCTTACTTTGGATCAGACAGACCTGGATGTAAACCCAGCTTAGCTCTTAGGAGCTGTATATCTCTTCACTGCACTAAGCCTTGGCTCCTTGACTATAAAATAGGGAGAATCCTTCAGCTTCAGACTTGTTGAAAGGAATGGGGAGAACATGGTGCAGACTCGGTGCTCAGATAACATGGGCTCCTAGCATGTTATTAGTACGTTTTTACATGTTAGTTTCTCATTTCTTTGTTATACACATACCCTGCAAAGGAGAAATTAGCGCCCACATTTCAGGTGAGTGCTGGGAGGGAAGATGGTAGGTAGTGGTTAAGTTAGGACTTGAGCCCAGTCTTGGACAGCAAGTCTGGCACTTTAATATGCCCCATTCCATGCCATCCTCTGTGTCATACTGTTACGGGATCTTTGGGGTGTCACTTTTCTGCCCGAAAACCTCTGTGGCTGGTGGCACCTTTACCTGAGTTCTTGTCCTGTGTCCAGGAGGTACGCAGACAAGTGGAAGGTGAACAAGATTAAGAGCTTTATTGAGTGTTGCAACAGTTCACAAGAGACCCGAAATGAGTAGCTTCTCTCTGTAGGCAGGTGGTCTCTGGAGTGTTCAACTTTCAGCAGAGAGGAGGCCCTTGGGAAAGAAGGTTGCTCCTCTATGCTATTGTTTGTCCCATTATCTCTAGTTATCGGCAGAGAGGGTAGCTCCTCTCTGCAGCTGGTCATCCCTTCCCCTCTCTATCCTTTTTCCTGCTCTGGCTGAGACAGGGGCTTTTATAGACCTAAGAGGGGGTGAAGTGCATGCTGATTGCTCCATGCATGGCCATGGGCAGCAGGGAGGGGGCACCACAAGTCCCCACTACAGTCCTGGGGACTGGCAGCCAGTTCCCAGACTTCAGGCCAGGAGTGGCCTCACCGGGGACCCACCCCTTTCTGCCCAGGAATCTGACTCTGCCA